GTATCAACCATAACAGAAGCAAAGCAAGAGAGCGTTGTAGAGGTCAGCGTCAAGTTCAGGTCTGAGTGAGGCTGAGCCCTCTTTCACGGAGGAATGGTTTCTTATTCTCCGCGTGTATTTAGAGACTAGCAGTTCTCAGCCCGGCTGGCATGAATCATACAGTAAATGAATGGTAGAAAAAAGAAGAAAAAAAATGAATGAACAGCTATCAGTTTGTCACTTCCGTAAAGAATTTTCACCAAGTGGACATTTAAGCTTCCTTTGGACCCTAAAAGCCAGTCATATCTTCCCCTCTTGATAAGTCAGTTATCAGTAAACACTGATTTTCTCAAGCTCAGTTCCTGCCTAGCATTGCTGTGGTGTTTCACCTGCTCAAACTGAGGTAACCATGGCAGACATTGTTATTTACATACGTTTCTCTTCCAATTTCAGTCTCCCTTGCAGAGAATTAGTGCATGTGACTAGTGTCTTCAAGAGAATGTTAGCAAAAGTATAACATTACTTCCAGCTCTAGCCCCTGAAGCACCTGGAAGAGTCCCCTGATTTCTGTGGCTCCCCACTCTTGCTGAGAGAGGAGATCTATGAGCGCTTGCCGCGGAGGTCCCAGGGAACAACCAAACAGCAACGTAAAGCCCTTTGGAGTCCTGAGTCATGCTTACATGAGCGACCAAATTGCTCGCCCTGTGACTAATTATATGGTACAGTTATGTTGTGAAAAAAATAAAACTTTTTCTGTGAGTAAATGAATTTTTAAACATGAAATTAATATTTATTATGCTAGTTCAGTAGCAAAATGATATATTTAATTCCTAGAAGGATAACTTCATTTTATTTGTTTTACATTAGCCAGAAAAGAAGAGCCTATCGCAAATAGACTCATATATTTATCTGGGCTTTCTTGAGAAATTTTGTAACCCTCAATGCCTTTTATAAATGTACCTACACTTTGACATAGTAGAGAAATTATTGATGGAAGAATAGAAACAGGTATAGGAACTTATTTTTCATTTAAGAGCCCAAATATAGCCAAATTTTTGTAAACATACCAATCAAAGTAAAATTAGCTTCTTGCAAAGTAAAATTAGTCTCTTGCATTAGTATATAAATGCATATTGTTATAGGGGAAAGAAACTCCCAACGTGCTAGATGCGCAGTATGAACTCACATTCTCTAATATCAAAGAATGAATTTTAGGAACAATGGAGGTTAAGAGCAGAATGTATGTATTTGGGAAAGAAAGCTTCTGTCTGAGAGAGAGACAGAAGAGGGCACGAGTGGGTTACCAAGGACCCTGCCTTTTCTAGGGACTTGTATAAAGAATATCCAGGAGGTAAGTTGGGTCCAAGATAGGGGAACAATTGGAAATGACAAGGTGGGCATGAGGTGGGACAAAACTATTGTCAGCCAATAAGATTACAAGTGTAACTGCACGGGTAAAATTGATTAAATTGGGATCAAAGGGGAAGCGAGTCATGTAGCAAGCCGGCATGAATACACAACAGGAGCCTTTCCTGTAAGGGGTTGGCTTAGTAGCCCTCTCTGGCTTTCTCAAGGTGATAGAGACCTAGTTAGAATATCAACCAATGATGATGATGATGATGATGATGATGATGATTCTCCTTAGGAGGTATGTGGGGGCACTTGTTTCATCTTTTGTGTTGAGGTCTGGCCCTCAGGGGAAGTGCCTACTTCTCCCACAGTTGCAAGGTATCTCGTCTTCCCCACTGGTACTTTTGAAGGCCTGGCCCTATCTGACTGCCTAGCATATTTCTCTCTAACTTAGCTGCCTATAACAACATTAGAATGTGTTTTTTCTGTTTTGGAGTACTGGATTTGCCTTTTTATGAGCAGATCTGCCACACAAGAAAGAGAATATGGATACATGGTAGGGGACTGTAAATTTAAGAAAAGCTTTTATGATTAATTGTTTATTTCAAAAGCTAATATTTTATAAATTTTGATATATTTTATCTTTCTAAAATCACACTTTAAGTTACAGAGCTGTACTAAGAGACATAAACAGAGAGGAAAAGATACGTGTGTGTGTGTGTGTGTGTGTGTGTGTGTATGTGTGTGTGCATGCCTGCTTACATGCTTGTGTGTGGAAAAGAAGCAAAAGGGAAACAAGGAAAGAAAAAGTGAAATAGGGAAAAATTAATATTTTTGTGATTTATACGCAGAAAGCTCAGAAAACCAAAGATTATTATTCAGAAAAATCAAATGTAATTACAGAGGAAAACCTCCAGGCTTGACAGAATGGTTAAGTTTGAAAGCATGAAATTTTTAAGAAATTCAGAGTGGCAGGAAGTTGGGCATACATTTCATGATGAGGTGGAGTACAGGCTTGTTTGATTACACACTTAAATGCAACATTGGATCACAAAGGGACTATTTAGTGAAATACAATTAAGAAAAAAATGTAAGTATTGCTGAAGACAGCTGAGCTAGATAGAAATATTATAGGCAGTCAGACAGGGCTGGACCCTCAAAGAAACCTATGCAGAAGACCAGATACCTTGCAACTGTGGGAGAGACAGACACTTTCACTGTGAGACACACCTCAAGACAAAAGATGAAACAAATGTGCCCACATACCTACCTAGGGATGGACCTCAGGGATTGGTATTCTGAATAGGTATCCATCACCTTGAAAAAGTTAGGAGGAGTCACTTACCAAACCCCCTACAGAAAAAGGCCCTGTTCTGTATTCATGCCCACTTGCTGCATGACTGGCTTCCCCATTTGATACCAATTTAATCAATTTTACCTAAGCAATTATACTCATCATCTCATTGGTTGAGCATAGTTTTTTCCCACCTCATGCCCACTTAATGAATTCCCATTTTTCCCCACCTTGGGCCCACCTCACATCCTGTATTTGCTCTATAAAATCCCTAGAAAAGACAGGGTCTTTGGTAACCCACGCGGGACCCCTTCCATCTCTCTCTGAGACAGAAGCTTTCTTTCTCCAATAAATATATTGTGCTCTTAACCTCTGTCATTCCTAAAATGCGTTCTTTGATTTTTAGAAATCAAACTTGTACAAGACATGTAGCAGGTTGGGTGTTTCTTTCCCCTATATCATTATGAACCAGGAAAGACCTGGAAGAAACTCTATTTTATTTTGTATTTATTTACTTTGTTTAAACAACGGCAATCTGTGTATTATCAAAGGAAATGATAGATTAATGAAATGTGAGAATGATTACTAATGGTATTAATAACTTGCCATGTAAGAGACATTTAAATAACTTTGTTGCTTGCTAAGAGTTTGTTCCTAAAGCTGGTAGACACAAAAATCTATGATCCAAAAGGTAGGAAAAAGTGAAGGAAGGAAGGAAGCAAGCAAGGAAGGAAGGAAGGAAGGAAGGAAGGGCATTCATAAAAATATATTTTTCCAAATCATTTTTAATGTTGTGTACTTACATTTTTTAAAAATTTGATTATCATGATGAGTCAAAACTATACTTCTGAATCTAGATCAAAATCATTATAGTTCTTCTCACCTTTTATTGCTCTGTTGCTTGCAATACTTTGCCTTAGCCTCATTTTAGTTATAATTTTTCTTTAAATATGGGTAACTTTTTATATATTCTAAAGTCCATTTCTTGGATCATGCTGAAGACTGAACTATATCTCCCCCAAATTCATGTGTGGGGTGAAGTCCTAATGCCACATACATGAGAATATAAATATATTTGGCAATAAGATTTTTAAGAGGTGGCTGAGTTAAAATGAGGTTTTTTAAAGAGTGGGCTGTATTTCATATGTCTATGCTGTTGGAAATATAAAGAAATTCTATAGAAATAGTAATTTACCTTTATTTTATGAGGCACCTTACATAATAATAAACAGCACTGACAGAGAATTGAAAGCAAATCAGCTATCTTAAAGCCAGTTGAGTTTGCTTTAAAGTTAATATCAAACTGATAAATATTGACGGTTAAAAATATCATTTCTCCTGTAAGCTTTTTCCTGTCTCATAGGTGATCTATTTAGGAGTCACCACTGGACAGAGACAGATGCAGGGCCTTATGCTAGCAATGAGTTATCGGAATACTCATTGAGCTTTCAGAAAATAACTGCTGCTTGAGGACAATTGCATAACATTTAAGAAGCTCATGACAACTAAATCTTAAAGAACCCAAACTCCTCTCAGATCATTCCAACTCCTGAGCAACCCTGAAATATAATAGTCATTTGTTAGTTCTCCCAGATTTCCACCCTATACACAAAATTTGCATATCTAGGTAAAGGAAGTACAAAACTTTTAGAGAATTTGAAGAGTATATCATGACATAGAGCAAATCATAAAGTGTAAAAACTAAAAAGAAAAAAAAAAAAAACTAAGAAGAGTTTGTCATAGAGCTTAATAAGCAAGCATTAAACAATCACAAGGTATACCTGACTACGAGGTGGTGCTAAAGTAGTCAAATGAACTCAGTTACCCTACAAATATCAGACTTGTACATCAAAAGTCAAACACTTTATTTTCATCACTGTCAAAAAGTTTTCACCACAATCTGAAGTCAAACAATGGTTCAGTCTGAATATTCAGGTATCATGTATTTGATTGGTTCAAATGGTTTTTATTTTCTTCAGTCATTTAACTTGTGTTGTACAAATTCATGCTCTCCCAGTGGTACTGTTTAAAAGCATACATTTCTAAGTTAGATTTTTCTAACTGTATGATATAATGTCCTCTCAGCAGTAATTAATTTACAGAAGTATTTAGATGATTTAGGGCTTATTCTATAAGTCCTTGAAAAACAGGATGTAGCACTTCTTTGAATGTCAAAGCTTTAGCCGTGGCACTTGACTGCTAGTTAGATCTATTCCACGCAAACAAGGAACCCAGTCATTGACTTTAATATTAGTCAGCTGGCTTGTTTCCCAGCCCATTTAGAATTCTCATACTACTGTATTAACTTTAAATGTCTATTGATTTCAAACCTCTATCGACAAGATGACTTTTCAACTCTGTGATTCTAAAGCAATGTGAATATACATAATAGGTATGTAACCAAGAAACTGCTAAGACTGAAAATAATGTTCAGCATTAAACAGGATTAATTGATGTGAAAATTGATAAGGCTCCGTACTGCATTTTAATGGAATAAGTATCCAATGACTTATACGGCTTTATAATTGTAGCAGTTATTAATACATTATTGAACAATCTACCCTCTTCGTTCCTCACTTGGCTCTTGTGGAATAGATGTACATTAAACTATCCGAAATGATAGCATTTAGATTATGGTAAAGAGAAAAGAAACACTGTGTGCTCCTTTTCCATGTGTTTACTGACAGAGAGAGATGCTTCTCAGCGCTTGGCATTTCTCCGAAACATACGGCTTATCATTATGGTCAGCAATAGTTACAGCAAATCTTAAAGGTGCATTTTCTGCTAATCCTTTGACGTTCTCTCAGAGTGGCAGAAACTGGGCCTCTGTGGGACTTGAGTCCAAGGCTGTGTGTGTGTCACGGTGTTCAGCAGGCCACTGCTCACTTCTCTGATGAACTTCAGCGCGTTCCTACAAATTCAGAGGATGTAATGCATTTCTCATTCTCTTTTCATTCCTGCTGCCTGAGATTTTTCTTTTAACATATAAAAGGAACAGCGCGACCCCATCTTAAAAATTGAAATATTCACTGATCTATGATTATTCCTGTAAGATCACTAGTGTTGGTGAATAATTCAAATTAAATAGTTTCCTATATATTCCATTTTAAAGGGACTACATTTACTTTCTTTCAATCGCTTCCTCCTGAGCTGTTCTCGCCCTGCATTATTCATATGTAACCTCACAGACTGTTTTTGTTTGAGGCAGTGCAGATATAAATCACAGGGCTATTTTCTCTGGAGGACTTCAGTCTTAAGCTCCACAACTTGTTTTAAAATGGAAACTATGTTCAATTAAAGTGATTTGTTTGCTTCGAAAAATTAACTATCTTATTTTGCCATTTGCGGGGAGAGAAGACTGAAGTTACAGTGCACGGTGCTGTATAATTTTTGAAGTCACTTATTTTCTGTCTTAACCTGTCAGCATGTAAGTACATCTAGCTTTGTCCTATGCTTTTATCTGTGGCCTGGTCACATTGCTGAGGACATAAATGCACCTACCCTTTCTCAAGCTGTTCTGACATTTGAGCAGCTCCTTTGTAAACAAATTGAAGTAACATTTTGTTCTCTGCTTTCTAGGTCCTTCACAAAGGAAATGGGAAAAAAGGAGAAAAACGGTATATGAGTGGAAATGCAACCAAAGTGAGAAAGGAGAATTGGAATGGCATAGGACTTCAAAGGTAACATTTTCTAATGATGTTACTTGAAATAGTAAAGTGGAAAATTCTGCTGTTTTCCCCACACAAACTAAAATGCTGACAAAAACTGTCAAAATCAATATCTGAACCATCTTGGAGTGCAGTCTGAAACTTAACAGCAGTCAGGGAGAAAGGTGATGCAGAGAAAGAAGCTGCATTTCAGAATATGTGCCGCACTTCCTCCGCACCTCACAGCAGCACTGGGGCATAGGAGAAAGATTCGCAAAGCCAGAAGGAGGGACATGGGCTTTAAACTTGGAGTACTGTGCTTACAGTTGCCCACAGATCAGACACCTCTCTCAAGGAGGACTGCAAAGGCTTCCCTTTGTCTCAACGGACTTGAAGGATCCCCAGGGCGGGTATCCTTGCCAATGGCTATAGCCAGATCCATTTAAACTAATGATATTGGTTACAGCACCCTGGGTTAAGGGATAACACGCACAATAAGTTTCGTGTGCACTTGCCACAGCCTGATAAACAACCAATGAATCAGAGAAATTATGAGGGAAATTTGAGACGTTCAGATAAATAAAATAAAATACACAACATACCAAAACATTTGGAATGCAAGAAAATCAGTGCACTTAGGAAATTTAAAGTTATAAATGCTTATATTAAAAGAGGAAGAAACTCCAAATCAATAGCTTAATTGTACACATGAAGGAACCATAATAAGCAAAGCAAGCATGATAGGTCCAAAGGTAACATAAGGAAAGAAATAAAATTAGAATGAAGATAATAAAATAAAGATAGAAAGAATAACTAAGAGAAAATCATAAAGTGTAACTTGTTCTTTGAAGCAATTAGGAAAATTGTTAGATCTTTATCTAGACAGAGTAGGAAAGAGAGAGGGAGAGAGACAGAGACAGAGGCAGAGACAGAGGTAGAGACAGACAGAGATATCAAATTATTTAAATCCAAAAAGAGATTAGGATATTATTGCAAATCATAAAAGTATCTTTATAAAACTATAGGAGAATATTGCGAATAATAAACACACAAAAATAGAAGAATTCCTGGAAACATACAAGTTACCACCACTAACTCAAAAGGAAAATTTAAACAGATCTATAAGAAAGAGATGGAGTCTGCAGTTACAAACCTTCCCAGAAGGCATCTCAAGACCATGTCTTCATGAATGCATTCTTTAAAACATTTAAGAAGAATTAGCAACAATCTTTTAAAAGTTTTCCCCAAGAAAATGGAAGATGAGGGACTTTTTCACTCACTATCTGAAGTGAGCAATTTCCAGAGAAAGGCGAAGATATCATTAGAAAGACGAAAGAAACAAACATCCCCAAGAAAATCAGGTATTATTTAGATATAAAAATCCTCAACTAAATATTAGCAAACCAAATGTAACAGGATGCTTAAAAAATTATACATCATGATCAAGTGAGATTTATTTCAGGAATTCAAGGGTAATTTAACATATGAACACCAGTAAAAACCACATATTCATAGTACAAAGGAAAGAAAACATGATCAACTGATGTGGAAAAAGTACGCAGTGATATTCAACACTGTGTCAAGATTAATGCACTCCACAAGTTAGGAATGTAAAAAATTTCCATAAATAATACAGAGCACTTATGAATAATCTACATTTTTAATATCAATAGGGAAAATAAACGCTGCCCCTCTTAGACTGTGAAATATAAAGGATGTGTACTTTCACCACTTCTATTTAACACTTTACAAGCTATCCTGGCAAAGCAATTATGCAAAAGAAAGAATAAAGGCAGCGAAATTGGACTGAAAGTAGTAAAATTGTTTCTATTTTAGTATGACATGATCTTATGTATATAAAACAATAAAGAATTTACACATAAAAATGTTAAACTTATAAAACACAATCAATACTATAAAAAACAAGATCAACATTCAAATTGGTAGCAATGTTGGATAGTACCAAGGAAAAATTTAAAGAAGAAATTAGCAAAAAATTTTATTTCAAATAACATCAACAGAATAAAATATCTAGAAATTTGATCAAGCAAGAGAAACACTAATATATTGACAACAATAGAAGTTTGTTTTAATAATTCAAATGACCTGAATAATTTGAAAGCTATTCTTTATTTATAGTTTGAAAGACCTAGTATTGGCAGATGGCTGTACTACCCAAACTGACCTATACATTGAATGAAATTTTTATCAAAATTCCAGTGGCCTTTGCCATACAAAAATAAAAATTACCCTAAAATTGAGTTAAATTCAAGGCATTCTGAATAACCAGACTTGTCTGAAATAGAACAAAAACTGAATAATTAATATTCCTGTGTTAAATATTTTCTTTAAAATTCTTGTAACTAAAATAGTGCTAACATAATAAAATAGATATGTAAATTAATAGGCTAGAATTCAGAGTTGGGACATACACACATCTATACTGGACCAACTGACTTTTAACAAGATTGATAATACCATTTCATGGTGAAAGAATCCTACCTTCAACAAACAATGCCAAGCCTCTTAGGTATCTACCTGACAAGAAATGGAGTTTAAAATATTATTTTATACCATGTTCAAAACTTAACTAAAATTTTTTCAAAACCTTTATTTATTATAAGAGAGAAAACTATAAAAATCATTAGAAATGAGTGTAGGACTAAATTGTCATGTCCTTGGATGTCGATATGGCAAACTATGTTTAGATAATGATGCCAAAATTTAAAAGTAATAGTGAACAAATTGAACTGTATAATATTTTTAAAAACTGTGTCACATGATGCTTAAGAAAGTGTAGAGAACCCAGAGTAGGATGAAATAATAGCAAATTATAAAATGTGTAAATACCATTGCAAGTCAACTGTGGCAACAAAAACAAACATTTTAGTTAAAAATGAGCAAAAGATTTGAATACGAACTTCCCCCAAAACAGATAAATAAATGGCCAAAAAGTACAAAAGAAAGAGATTGGTTTCTTAGCCCACTGTAATTCCTGCTGAATTGCTATGGCATCCAGGCAATATGGCGCTGGAGGTCATGTGGTATGGTGCTTAGACACTACAGCTTCTAGCCAATATAGCGCTGCCCACTAGAGGCCATGTGCTAAGCCTCACCCTCTTCCCCTCAGTCAAATTACGACTTTTTGTAATATCTTGTTTTCTTTTCCCACACTCCCACCCAATCCTGGTCTGCCATGTTAGGTGGTCCACCTCTATACCCCGCCTCCAGCCTGGGGCTATTTAACCTTGGACCCCACTAAAGATCCTTAGAAGTGCCATGTTTTTCTCTTTCCTTGTGGTCTTCTCCATGTCCATAATTAAGGCATTTTATTCTGTTTTACTTCTCTCTGCACTGAAAAAACCTATCAGAAAGAAAGAAAGAGAGTGAGGATATGGAAAGACTCATGTCCTATTTCAAAGTTGCTTGGGATGGAAATAGTACAGCCTTTCTATAAAATCATTCTGACAGTTTTTCAACATATTAAATATAGGGTTACCATATAACCCAACAATTAGAGTTTTAAATTTACATTCCAAGAAACTGAAAGCATATTCAAATAAATAACTGTGTACAAAGGTTTATAACACAACAATTTATAACATCCCCAAATAAAAACAACTTAGATGTTTATCAGCTGATGAATAAACAAAGTATTTGTCAATTATGATCACATCCCTTGGCTCTTATGATATTCATATTCATAAACTACGTCTATGTTTGTAGTCATATCACCAACTAGTGTGGAAACCAATTTACACATTTTATCTGACCAAACTCTTAAAACATAACAACCAATATTCTTAATTTACAAAAACTGAGTAAGAGTACTGGTGCACAGAATACAAAATTCATGACTTATCAACAATGCATTCTCCTAATTCTTTGTGTTTACAGGATTACAAGCTATTCAAAATGCATCCAAGTGGAGGGGTTTAATCAATCTAAATAAAATACTGTATTCTTCATGATTTTATCATTTAATAACTAATGAAACAGCACAAAGCTGGATGTAATGGTGCATGCTTGTAATCCTAGTACTCTAGAAAGCAGAAGTACAAGGATTACAAGTTTGACTCCAGGCTGGGCAGTTTAGCAAATTAGGTAGCCCTTGTCTCAAATATAAAAATTTAACAGAGTTGGAAATCCAGTTTAGTACAAAATTCCTGCTACAAAAAAAGACATGAAATTATTTCATAAAAGTCTATGCAGAAACTATCTTTTTATTGAATGAATTTTCTGGGGTTTAATATATTTACATAGAGTTTTAATGTTTATATCTGCGGCATTGAGGTAACTTTTTTATCCCTATGACACAATGCAAAATACATATTTCTCTCTGGGCCCAATGTTCCTGACAGGAAATTCATAAAAGTCCTATAATTTCCAGTCTTGGGACTAATTGGAGCTCCTTGTGCAGAGATTTTTGGAATTTCCTTTGTGATAGAAAAGTCTTTGACTCTCATGTATCAACTCTAGGCCAGTTTGGAGATTCAAATGCAGAAATTCTTAAACAGGTTGGAATGGGGGCTCATCACAAGCAATATCAAATTGTGATCAGAAGCTTAGATCTTTGAGCTACACTTCCCCTCCTCAAAGGAAGAAAGATAGGCTGGAAACTGTGTTCAAAACCAATCACGACTGTGTGCAGAAGCATCTGTGAGAATCCCTAGGCTATGAGCTTTGAAGAGCACCCAGGATGAGGAGCACATCCACCTGCATGAAGGGTTGGGGGTAGCAGCTCCACCTCACAGGAGAAAAAAACTTCTATACTCAAGAGTCATGCATGGGAGCCTGCCCTACATTCCTCTTCATCCATACCCTTAATAGCTTCTTCCGTGAAAAATCAATACATATAAGTAAATGATCTCCAGAGATTTGAGCCATTATAGCATATTATCAACACTGAGGAGGGAGTATGTGAGCCTTCAATTTCATAGCTGGTTGATCAGAAGTACTCATGACAAACTGTGACTGGGGATTTCAGGTGAAAGTGTGATCCGGCAGGCTTACGGGATCCTTAGCCCGTGCTTCTAAATGGACTGCAGGTAGTAGTAAGTTTGAGAACTGAACTGTCAGAATAATCATTTGAGGTCCAGGGTGGGAGAACTGCTTAGTGTGGAATAATCTTGTACACATTTGGTCTAGAAGTGTTGTGAGGATAAAGAGACTTTTTTTCCTTTATTGCCTGCTGCATGATATTTTCAAATAAATTACATAATCCTTGCATAGCTTCACAAACACATATGGTTGTCTACTCTCAATTTTCATATAAAAATCTTCCAGGAATTTAAGCGTAATTTAACATGAACATCAATGTAACATAGCACATTTATAGTACAAAGGAAAGAAAACATGATCAACTGATATGGAAAAATACCGAATAATATCCAACATTATTTCATGAGTAAAGCACTCCACAAACTAGAAATATGAGTCACAAATAATAACTTTGCAGATAAAAATCAGGAGTTCTTTACTTAATCAAATAAAACCTAACTTTGTTTTAGTTAGTGACAATCTGATATATTAACTTATATTTTCTTCACAGGGAAGAAAGAACCATCATTACTGAGGCATCTTTTTCCCCCTAGCAGTGCTGGAGATGGAAGAGAATCCTACACATTTTCAGGAGGTACGTTACCATCAAGCTAACCGCTACGGCACACTACTTCAGCGTTTGATGTTTAGTATTCTTTACAGAGTCAACACTGATGGCGCTACAGAAGAAATCATTTGCACAAAAGCAAAAATCTTTCTGTTTTTACTGCACATGCTAGATGAGTGGATAAGACAGGTACATCTATAAAGATGGATAGTTTTCTAAAAACTATCCATTCATGAAATTTAAAATGGTAACGCCTTCCTCCTTCTCCAATCGACTGAGAGTTTTGTGGTGATATTCATATAATGTGCAATGGAAGAACTTCTTCTTTTTTTTTCAATATGTAGGGATTATGCGGTAAGACATTCTACTTTTAATACAAACAAAACAGAAAACTGCCAACTCATTTCCCAATGCTGTTCCAACATCAATAGTTTAAATACAGCTAGGGAAGATTTATAACCATCAAGTCTCCATTAAACACAAGAAAGACGAATGACACAAAGATTAGTCCAAAAACTGTGGATTCAGAAATGGAATTCGAGAAAGGTTAGTTTACCTTTAAATATAAAAGAAACACTTGTGGAAATGAAACCAGAAAACCACGAGACCAAATGCATTTCAAGTGCCCTTTTGAAGACAGAATCTGCTAGGTAATACTAAAGTTGCTTCAATTTTTTTTTTTTTTTTTTTTTTTTTTTGGTCTTTTTGAGACAGGGTCTCACAATGCAGTTCAGGCTGGCCTTGAGCTCACTTTGTAGCCCAGCCTGGTCTTGAACTTGCAAAGATCCTCCTGCCTCAGCCTCCCTAATTTAACTTTTACTCTAATAATGGAATTATATTATTACTGTTAAGACAGAATAGAGCTTTTAAACTTATAATTTTTGAAAAAAATTGGTAAAAATAATATATGTTTTGTACACAGAGTATTTTATTTACACTAATTTTGATTCTTTGCCTAATTTATATTAGAAATTTTATCAGATTCTCTTTGAATTTATTATTCAGTGTTTTAGCTACATAAATATAATCTTTGTAACAGTACAACTTATAATAGCTAAATCTCAGAAGTGGCCTATAGGTGTATTAACAAGTGAATGTATAAAGAAAGCATGGCATATGTATTCAATGGAATAATAGGGAAAGAAAATTTGAGTCCTTTGTAGAAAAATGGACTCTTCTTAAAATGAAAATGCAAAGTGAAATATCTCAGACACAGACTATCTCATGGTTTCTACTGGATCAGAAATCCAAAGTACAAACAATTTTTTTTTTTTTTTTGGTTTTTTCTCCGGTACCAGGAACCGAACTCATGACCTTGCGCTTGCCAGGCAGGCGCTTTGCCACTGAGCTAAATCCCCAGCCCCAGTACAAACAATTTAAAGAGCAAAACTTTAAAACTGGATGATAAGGAACAGGAAGGTCGACTCTGCAGGATGGAATAGGAGGGGGGACAGCAGGGAGAGAAGGGGAAGTGGAGAGGGTTAAGACGGGATGTGCAGAGACACCCATTCCCCAGATGGAGGCAACCAGCATGCATCACAAACACAGAAGAGGAAAATCTACTGAAAATAACGTTCTACTTCCTAACATAATGCCAGCAAGTATAATGTGGTATATCTTGGATGTTAATTTTCTTTGCTTCAAAGAGTATATATTTAAAAACAATTATACCACCTGTTCTATTGCAGCCTAGCATTACTATCAATTTGTACCAGAAAGTATCTGGCATTCAGTTTGCACACACTATCTTCTCTGAAACATAACTTTAAAACCTTAATGTTTGAAAGGAACATGACATTTCCATCATCTCTTTGAAATTTTCTCCCTTGACAAATTGCAGTTTTCCTCAAATTAACGTACATTCTTCACTTCTCCAAATGTTTATCACATACTTAATGCTGTAGCAAGTACCGGGCCATTTCTGAGATTCTTATTACTCTTCAGCTATAACAGTTCACAAAAATGGGTGCTTTTTTACAGTAGGCAATGCGATATTACGGATGAATATGTTAAGAAACATTTACTTAATGTGTGCCACTTGTGTGTATGTGTGTATGTGTTTGAAAACTAAACTTCTGTGCTTCAGTTTTCTGATAGGAAAACGGACAGCAACAGTGAGGCAATGTACAATGTGTCCTAGGGTATCCAGAAGAGTCAGTGAAATAATTCAAGTAAAAGATTTTCTGAACTATCGCCCCAAAGTAAATTGGATGATTATTATTTTATTGCTATTGTTTTATTGTTATTAAGTCAGCTAACCTCACAGAATTTATAGTCTAATTGGAGACACAATGGTACTCTGGCAATTTTAATAGAACATGAGGTTTCCTATGAGAACAATAAAGGAATAAAAAGTAAATATGCAGTGTATTCTCATTACCTCTTCCTTCTCCGAATCCCCACAGTTGTGAGGTTGAGAAGATAAACAAAATTTACTATAGCGTAAAAACAAGCACTAAGAAACTGACAGTTTATAAAATTATTCTCCAGTGAAATACCTCCCTCTCTCCCTCGGCTGCCTCTGAACATTATGAGTATCCCTGTTCCTCTCTTCAAGTTCGTTATTGATCCCTGTTCACTTACTGTAGTGCTCTGTAAACATTAGTCAATGGAATGCAAATACAATGCAAATTAATTAAAAGTGAAAGTGCATACCTTGCAAGAATCACACTTTCATTATGCCAATAAAATTATGTTTGTAGACTATTCCAGTCACATACAAAGCCACTGCCAAATGAACAAGGTTGAGCAGTTAGTAACTGAAGAAAGAAACACTGAAAAAAATATTAGTTTAAGGTGTTTAGAAAAGAAAACGTACAGGAAATCAAAGTTTAAGGTAACTCTTTAGGAAAAATTATTCTATTCTGTATATTTATTTAAAACCATACTCTTTAGGTTCCTTTTTAAAAATTCAAATTGTGATGAAAATACAAACTTACCATATTGTAAAGTGTCCGATAAATTCTACACAAAAGTGAGAATTTTAAAATGCCTTTAGGAGGGCTGGGTATTTAGCTCAGCGGCACAGCGTCTGCCTGGCAAGTGTGAGGTCATGAGTTCAATTCCTGGTACTGGAAAAAAAAACAACAATAAATAAAAAATAAATTAAATAAAATGCCTTTAGGAATCAGCATACATTTTCCTATATCTCTTCATGTTAAAATGTGAGGGAATAAATTAATTTCATTGATCTATAATTACTCTTTTAGCACCCAATCCCATTGTATCCCTCCCACAACACTCTTTCTTATGGACTTTTCATTTCAGCTTGAGGGGATTCAATTTAAGTAGCTCTTTCCTATGCTAAAATTTCTTTGGGGATAGGACCTCTCTTACATGACCGTCTCTATAACTCATCTTTTCCTCGGCTTTTTTTCCCTCTCACTTTCTATTCATATGAAATCACATTGCCAGATGAAATATCTGCACTCAGAACGTGTCTCTAGGTACTCTATAGAAGGGATGTACAGCATGCAGAAGGATAAGTAACATAACAGAATTCTGAGGAGAAATTGCATGAATATTGATTTTCATAGTCCAGAAATGATATGATAAAATCAAGAACAATGATAACAGGGTAGCTATGAAGAGATGAGATGAATTTTAAAAGGTGCTAGTGAGATAGAATCTGGGGGGCTTATTAGCTGATCAGGTCTACGGAGCAAGCGCAATATGCAGTCTAAGTGACATCGCGAGAATGGAGAGATTTGGTGCTTAATGGAGAACAGCAGAAGTTGCTTGGAGAAAGCTGACGAGTGCAATGTGAACATGTTCATTTTTTGGCCTTAGCGTGTTATTTGTCTGAAAATATCTAGAAGACATTCATATATAAAGAGGTGGAATTTAGTTGAAATTAGGATTAGAAAAAGTCTGTTCAGGGGGCATCAGCGTACCTGGTATTTGGCATCACCTATGTAGGTGAAGTCATCTGCAGATATATAGACCAAGATGCACAGGAGTTCAAGCATTAAAATCTGGAGCAAAAAATCAGGGAACGATGAAGAGCCAAAGAATAGACTGAGGAAAATTTCAAATATATTTTATAAGGAAATGAACAGTACTCCACCAAAAAGGATAATCAAAACTGAAAGCATTTTTAGAACATCAACATAACTGAGAAATCTAAATTCATATTTCAGTAAGAACTTTTGACAAAAATATAGATATATTTTATTTTTATCACCATATCATGTACCATTTTAGGTAAAATACACAGTGGTTATATTGCTTTTCAATAACTATAGATGAAGTACTTTATTTGATAATATTGTATAGTCATGAATCATCATTATACAGTCATCCCTATCTTGTTGATATGGTTTTATGATGCAATGGATTTGTGTTGTTTTGTGTTGGTGAGGTCTGGAAGGGCTCATCAGAATAAAGGTGAACAATGCTGATATGACCACGGGAAAGCCAAAGCAGTACAATCATGATTATAATCACCAGTGAACCAATCTTCATCAGTCCTACATTTGATTTCCATTTATAATCCACTAGAAGAAGGATTTTAATGAATCCTGAGGCAGCACAATGAAAGAAACACCTTTGTTATTAGAAAATAGTTGTTCTTTATGGAAATTACCATCACTAAGGAGTCTTTGTTATAAGACTATATTTTCACTTAATGTCTATAACTGCTCATGTGTAGTTTTGAAGTACATAAAAAGATTGTTTTAAATTGTAAATGTACCGTGCATACTTATAGAGCATTTTGATACCACCGACTTGGGAAAAATATTGCCCATGTAGAAAAAAAGAGTACACTACTAAAGGATGTGCATGTTTATTTTTATCAAGAAAAATTGTTGTTTTCAAAATATTTGTTGCTGTTCAAGTTTTTAAAAAATGAAAGCTTTCATGAAAATGTTATTACTTCTTTTGAATATAATCTTAAAATAGTACTGAGTAATCACTAAAGTTTATTTTGTAATTTTATACTTTTAAATCACATGGATTAGCACAGATGTGGAAATATATTTATCATTCAAACATTAGCTTTTAAAATTCAGAATTTCCAATATTAA